AACCTAGGCAACTGGGCTTACTCCCAGGAAAGTGTTCTTAAGAATGCACTTTGAGTGTACCAGTAAGCTGTGTGGATATACGTTGCACTTGTGTGGACTGAAGCCCCTGAACATGTGGACTGTGAGGATCAGATGCTCATCATCTCCAAATGAATCACTGTGCATATGCTCCTTTAGGAACAGCATACACCTGTAATGGTTAGATTTCCTAATGATAATAAGAAAATCAGCTTTAAGCAAATCTACCTAATAGTCTTCATGACGGAGTTATCTCTCCAACTCATCCTCTGAAATTCAGCAGTGAAAGGACTCAACTAGATGATTCATGTGACATGTAACTTCAGGGAACTAATGCCAGGCAAACAGCCTCATCTGACCATTGTTTCGGCTTGGGAAAACCACGGGGGGGGGGGGGGGGGGGGGGGGCTGAAGCTGCCCTTCCCTCATGCTGCACTCACAAACTGAATCCAGCCCCCCAGAGCTTGGGAACATTCATTCCCTGTGTCACACATATTGTCTAGCTGGGCCGTAACATGCTTGATGAACTTAGGGTCTACGATTCAATTTTCAATATCATTTTCTCTGAAAAATTACTGTATGGAAATGGGTGTGGTGTCTTTTCATTCTTTCCCAGCTTGAACTAGTTGGATATTCCCCTGTGGGAGTAGCCTCTATTTGCTAAAAATAAAGTCAACATTAGCTACAGGTAATTTTGCAGGACCAGCAATGATAACATTCAAATGTTCCAAAGGGGTGCAGCGATTAGTGTCAAAAACACATTTGTCTAAGGAAAGAGCAGATAAAAGAGGTGTGAGCTGCTGAAACTGGAATTAGGGTGTTGTTCAGTAACAAAGAATACTATTGAGTTCCTTGTGCCGCAACACTGCACAAAACAGTCAATAGTAGTTGGGAGAACAAAACGATTCCTAACCGAGGTGCTAAGTCTTCTGCAAATGCTTTTTGTCTTTCTAAAGGGTAATTGTTTCTTCAAAAAAAATTACTGGTTTGTAATATTTAATGCTGCTAGGAGACATAGCCCTTGTTCTGTAGAATGATGCCCACTACTATGGGGTCAGTTCATCATAGATGGGTTCTGACCCCATAACATAAGCAGATGACATAAGGCCTGTATCCTTGATTCTTCTTTGTATGTGCACATGGCACGCACACAGTAGAATATAGAAAGTGGCTCCCATGTGGAACGGGGGCAATTTTTACTATATCACCATCAGTATCAAACAAAAAAAGAAGTCTTGAAGCACCTGAAAATTAACAGATTAATTATAGTGTAAAGTTTTATGAGATAAAGCCTATTAATCAGATGCATGAAGTGAGTTATATAGCCCATGAAAGCTTATGCTACAATGTGTCCTAATACTTCTTTTTTTTGTTTTTGCTACAAAAGTCTAACATGACTACCTCTTCTGGAATGAAGACATGAAGCTACCTTATATAAAGACATCCATTGGTCTATTGAAGTCATTATTGTCGATGTGACTGGTAGCAGCTCTCCAGGGTCACAGGTGGAGGTCATTCATATCCCCTACTATCTGGTTCTTTTAACCGGAGATGCTGGGGATTGAACTTTGCATATAAAGCAAATGCTGTGCCACTAAGCCATGGCACCCCCTATGATGTGGTTAAAATTGCCAGATTCTGTGTCAGGTTTTCTTGACTTACACAGTCTTTGGTGACAGAGCAGTTCAGCCCATTCAGTGTCTACCTTACCAGGAGGGCTTGCCCTAGCATTCTGACAAGCTTTAGCAGCTGTCTTCTGAGTTGATCATCTCAACTTCTCTTGCCTGCAAGATGATGTCAGTGATGCTTTAGGCTGATTCTGCACTGAGCAGGGGGTTGGGCAAGATGGCCTGTATGATCCCTTCCAACTCTACGATTCTGTGATTCTAGATAAGGATAGCCAGGGGTCATTTCATAGAAAAAGAGCTAGGGGAACTCATTAGCATAACTCATTAGCATATGCCACACCCCCTGACATCAGGGGCCCGGGGGTGGACCTGCAAGGGCGGCGGAAGTGCAAGGAAGCCCCGCCAAGGCCCTCCCTGGCCCCAGGCAGGCAGGGGTGGGGAGAGGCGGGGAGGAAGCAACTTACCTTCCCTCTTCTCCTGCCTTCTCCTGGCTGAATGAGGGCTGGAAGCGGGGCGGCCAGAAGCAGGGGGCGGGGCTTCATCGTGTGCCCCGCCCCCATGCACTTCACCCGGGGGAACTGCGTTCCCCCACGTTCCCCTCCGAAATGACCTCTGAGGATAGCTATATTGCCATGCTGCCATAAGTATCTGTACAGTGGACCAAAGTGCTAGAATAATGTTTGATACAGTGTTAAGCTTCTTTGGAAGCTGTAATATGAGCATCCAGCACACAGAGAGGTGGTGTATTTCCCTCTTTTCTCAGATCAGCATCCAGTCTCTTCATTGCCATGCATCATTGGGATGCCCTGCCCACCCACACAGTTATTAGACATCACACTCATGCAGTGGCCTATGAATAATAAGCTCCCTGTAAAACTGTAACTCATCATTCCTAATGATAGCTTCCATTTAGCTTCACAAGGAGGATATTGTATTGATTGTGTCTGCTGCAAATAAAGATATCATGATTGGATAAAAGCTGAATTTGTTTCTAGGTCAGAGTTGAAGTAAATCAGTTGCAGCAGTGTGTTAGATTGGAATTGATGAGCCCGGAGTCCAGAAGGTCCCTGTAACTCACTGCTGTGCATCTGGCAGAGGAGTCTGGCAAATTTATATCACTATCGAGAGCTATTCCCCTTAGTGGAGAAACAGGATTAATTTCTTAATTCGCACAGACCGTCTGCCTTTCTCAACAGCCACAATAAAGTGACAGTTCTCCCTTCATGTGGCATGTGGAGATTTCTAACTGAAGGCAGTGGGTGTAACATAGCATGCCTGATTAGGGCTGAGGTACCATGAGCATGGTTACTTGGGAAATAACTGAAATGAAGATATGGATGGGTGACCTGTTTGTGTAGGTTGCTTTCCCATTTGAACCAATAACTAATCAAAATATTCCATCATGTGTTACACACCAGAATGATTTCTCAGACAGCATAAAGCTGTTGCAGCCAACCACGGAGTGTATTCATAGGCATCTCTCCCTCAGCCCAGCCCAGGATATTTTGCTATCCCAAGAAGCTGAATGTCTGAATCCCAGTGATGGGCCCCAGGGTCTTCTGCAATATTGCAAGGATTGCATGCTATTTCTCTAGTCCTTCAAGAAATATCACTCTTCAAAGCGAGCATTAGGGGTGTTTATGAACAGGAGACTCAGGCATGACTGCAGAAAGATTCTGTTAAGTTGTTTACTTAACAAAGAGTCAGAGAGTGATTTCAGCAAAAGATCAGCTTTATTCAGCAACTCGTAACTCAACTCCAAACGGATCAACATGAATAGCCAGAACAGCTTTAGCATTGAAGCTGTTCCACTTTTAAACTCTCCCGGCTAATATAGCCACACCTACTATACAAACACCAACCTATGAGGTCACAGGGATAAAGTCCAATCACAATAGTTCCTGCTCTTGGAACTGGCTGTTGGTGATTGGTCGGATCTTCCTGGGCTACCAATAACAATTGAAGGATTAGGATCCTAGCCCAGGATGAAAGCTTCACATGGTGATTCAATGAGTGAGTTCACATACATACATTGTCAGATTGAATACACCACAGATTCATTCAGGCCAGGGAACAGGAGTAGAAAGTTCTTTGGCTTAAATGCCCTGGAAAATGGCCCCCGCACTGAAGAACCAGTGGCATCAGCTCAGCTCTTCACTCTGGTGAGGACAAGCTGTACAGAAAGGGCTCCTATGCTCTGTTCTGGTATCTTTGGTGCTTGGTGTTGTGACTGTATTAAAATGTTGCATAATTTCATCAGTTTTTTAGGTTTAGACAAGTCTAAACCTTCTTTCTCCCCACTTGCCAGATCTTCCATGTCCTGTTTTTTTAAAATAAAAAAGCAGACTTTCTGAGCATAAAGGGATTGTACAATGCTAAAGATTAGGTAAAGGATTGACTTCCTGTTCTAGACGTGCTACCTAGAAAACAGTTACTCACTATTAATTTTATGGAATGCCTCATGGTTTCACACACTGTATCACAGATCTGTAGATTAGCACAATGACTATCCCTCCTCCATGTTAACTTTGGCCCATAAAGCCAGAGGAAATTGTGTGTGTGTGTCAAGTGCCATCAAGTCACTTCCAACTTATGGGAACTCTAAGAATTAATGAACTCCAAAATGTCCTATTCTTAACAGCCTTGCTCAGGTCTTGCAAACTGAGAACTTCCTTGACTGAGTCCATCCATCTCATGTTGGGTTTTCCTCTTTTCCTGCTGCCTTCAACTTTTCCTAGCACTATTGTCTTTTCCAGTGACTCTTGTCTTCTCATAATGTGACCAAAGTACAATGGCCTCAGTTCAGTCATTTTAGCTTCTAGGGAGAGTTCAGGCTTGATTTGATCTACAGCCCACTCATTTGTCTTTTTGGCAGTAACTGTCAGTACCTCAGTACTGAGAGAAACAGAGCATAGAATCCAGTCCATCACCTCTATTTTGTAACGATGGTTTGGCTTTCTTTTCCTTTGCAACTGGTAACACAGGTACACTGAATATATTTTAAATATGGGGATAAGGGTATATATGAAGAAATGATCATACAAATAGTGCAATGTGGTTTGTTCAGAGAAGGTTACCCTATACTTGACAAATGATGCCTATTTTACTCTGAGAGAACAAGGGCTTCTAAAGAGACGAAAGTTCCAATCTCCAGACCCACCAACCCCAAAGCATACAATATTAGTCAACAGGAGTGAAACTGAACTATCTTGCAAAAACACAGTGAGCAAACAAAGTATTAATGGAAGCCATCTGATAAGGGTTGCTACAGTCTATTGGTGCAGGGAAGGGGACTTCAGTGTTCCCTTATGCTTTGCTAGTGGTATCTCAGCTCCTGGCTGCACGGGACATACCATGTCCACTACCATTTGCCAAGTGATGGGATTTTTAGTGTCAGCTCTGGGTTTAGCAGGCTGCATTGCCGCCACAGGGATGGACATGTGGAGTACCCAGGACTTATATGACAACCCGGTGACAGCTGTGTTCCAGTATCAGGGGCTCTGGAGGAGTTGTGTCAGTCAAAGTTCGGGGTTTACGGAGTGTCGGCCTTATTTTACAATTCTTGGGCTACCAGGTAGGGATATGGGCTGGTCAAGGCTACCAGCATGAGGCAATGTATTAATATAAATGGGGACCACACACTGATTTCTGTGTCTGTTTCCCTAATTCTCATACCAAATTCGTGGGACCTACAGATTTCATGTTAGGAAAATCTGTATTTAAAATTAAATCATGCTTCTAAATTTTTGCAATGATTGTTTCAATTTAACTGCATAAAACAGAGTGTGCTGTTTATCAAAAACAGAGGTTGTATTAATACTGAAAGAATGGTTTATGTATTTCTATCAAAGTTATCACAAATATTCAAAATAAATGGATTTGCTATTTTACAAATTGAGAAAATATACATATTCTTTTTTCTGTTTTAAAAACATATATTGGAATACTATCCAGATTTTCAAACACATTTGTCTTTTATTCAGTCATACAAAACATTCACATTAATTTTTGTCCATTGATTTTCTGATAATTTTCTTAATATAATCATGTGCAGAGTATTCTAAACATTACGAATCTTCTTTGTTTTCTGCTAACAGTTATTTTCACATCTCTAGATTTCACTTTTTAAATTAAAATATCCTAATAATAGACACTGATAGTTCAAGAAGTTATGCATAAACACATGTGAGTTATTATTACATTTCCAGCATTTATCTCAGATCTGTTGTGCATCTTTTCCGGCATCTTTGTGCCACGCCTTTTGGGAAAAAACAGCTCTCTTGTTTCAGAAAAATCCAGTAGACTTTTGAAATATTCTTGACTCTTCGCTGCCAGTTCATGAATTGTGGCTTATCAGTTTACTGTTTTAACAATATGTTGTTTAGTATATTACACTGGAATAAGTACAGGAAGACCATTTGTATATTATTCAGTCTTTGGTCCACCATGACCAAAAAAAAATAATCAATACAATATTTTACTTTGAAAAACCAATTGTTTTTCAGCTCTCCTAGTCTTTTTGTTTATATCTCCTCAAAATGTAGAAGTGGACTATTTCCTCTAATATTCCAGTGTTTCTAAATTAAATTATAAATAAAATGTGTGATCCTTCCCCATACGGGCACAGCATCACTGAATGGAGGGATCCTGACAGAATCGACCGAGTCCTCTCCCCACCCCTGCTATGCACAGTTTGGAGAAAGAAGCATAATTGCATCTGACTCTAGTGCTTGATTTGATTGAGTGCTTGATTGATTGTTCAGCAGCCTCTGAACAACAGGTGCATTAATATAAGACTTAAAATGAACCATCAAAACAGTGCTTAGACTAAATACTGAACTGGTACTGGACAGGTGCACGTCATTCCAACCATATCCTTAAAAATATGTTGGAATATTATCATTCCAATATTATTACATAAGATTACAATTTATTGTTATACCTAAATATGTTTCAGGTTTCCTATGCCTTGGGATGCTATTCTGTTTCTTGATGTCTGATCTAAATCTTTGGTATTAAACAATTAACATTTCTGATTCTTTCTAATTGACCTTAAAATACTCTACAAATGGGTCTGTAGACTCAACTTGTAGGCCTGTACTACCTCATAATGATGTGAGGTATCACATGTTTGAATGTTCTTTAAAATCTCCCTACACATGGAAAGCTAGCCAGTCATGCAAAAGGCTAGTTTCGTAGTCCTTCTACATGCAGAGAACTATTGTTAGAAATGTTGGAGAACCAACAGCCTGCAAAGAGTCTAGTTAATGTAAATATGCCTGAAATAGTAGTTTAGTCTTCTTGTACCCTAGGGGAAACTGTGGTGTATTCTCTAGTGTTTATAGAGGTTTTAAAATATTTTCTTATGCACTTCAGCCTACCACTTGATTTTCCTCTCTCTGCTTTGTGTTAATATGTGTTAGTGCTTGCACTCTGAAGGCCTCTCTGTTGCATTAATGGCCTGCAGTCAGTTACTGTCTTTTTGCAAAATTGTGTTGCAGTAAATTAATTGAAAGCAAACTCCAAAGCATAGATTGGATTATTTTGTGAACTCTGCCAACAAGAAGGGCACATATTAATGTGATCTCATGCACATTCTCAGGGGGTAAGAGGCCTATATTGCCCCTTTCTTAACATCTGTGTAATATCTCAAAGCTAAAAATATCTATGTGCCTTAAACATTCTTTTAAAATTATAGGACCATAAGACCCATTCCAGTCTGGCTTCTTCCTTGTTTATGGGACAGAGATGGAGCTGGTCACCCTCATGGATGACCTCCAGAGACACCTGGATTGAGGTGGGTCAGCGCTGCTGTTGTTTCTTGAACTGACAGCAGTGCTTGATATGGTCGATTATGACCTTATGACCCACCGCCTTGCCGACATGGGGATAAGGGGGACTGCCTTGAAATGGCTGGTCTCCTTTCTCCATGGTTGGGACAGAGGGTGGTGACTGGGAGAGGGTCTCATCATGTTACCCACTGGTATGCAGCATCCCTCAAGGGGCAATCCTCTCCCGAATATTGTTTAACATCTATATGTGCCCCCTTGCCCAGCTGGTCCGGGTTTTTTGGCTGGAGTGTCATCAGTATGCCGTATGCTGATGACACCCACCTGTATCTGTTGATGAATGGCCAGCTGGACTCCACCCCTGAGGTTCTGACTAGGGCATTAGAGGCAGTGGCTGGCTGGTTGCATCAGTGTCGACTAAAACTGAATCCATCAAAGCTGAAGGTCCTGTGCCTGAGCTGTGGGGGAATGGGGTTGGGTATCCATTTCCCATGAAATTGGGGGGTCTGGAAGCCCTAGGCTTGGTGGAATTCCCTACCCAGTGAGATCAGGGCCCTGCAGGACTTATTACAGTTCCGCAGGTCTGCAAAACAGAGTTGTTCTGCCAGGCCTTTGGTTGAGGCGGTGGGTGCCTGGTTATGGCCTCCCCTTCTTCAGCCCATCCTCCATATTCCATCTACAAATGGTGTACTCACCTAATTCCCAAATATCTGTTCCATTGACCATACACACAATAACTCCTGGGAGTGTTGTGAATTTGTTCTGCCATCTTGTTCTGCTGTCTTAAATTATGTTTTTTAAAATGTGATTATTGTTTTACTGTTTTAATTGTTTTATTGTGGACTTTGTTGTAAGCCGTCCTGAGCTGCTTGCAGGGGAGGGCAGGATATAAGTGTAATAAAATAAAGAAATAGGGAAACATCATTTAGTATATTCTGTTTCTACTGTCTTAATTCTGTGCATAGGAGTAGAGATTATATAGTTAAGTAATAAATCAAAAAAGGATCAAGTTACCTAGTGCTCCTACTCATCAAATTTATTTCACAGGTGTCCATTCATTGCCCTTCTCTTTCTCAAAGCAAGTCAGTTTTGGAAACGGTCCCTAAACTGATGTTTTCTTACTATGATTACCTACCTCCAGGTGGGGCCTGAAGATCTCCTGGAATTACAACTGATCTCCAGACTGGGGAAAATGGCTGCTTTTGAGGGTGGAGTCTGTGGCATTATACTCCACGAGGTCCTTTTCCTCCTCAAACCCTGCTGTTCCCAGTTTCCTCCCACAAACTTCCAGGAATTTCCCATCCTGGAACTGGAGACCCTATTTCTTATTAAATATTCAATAAACTTCCATTTTAGCATATCGAGTGCCTTTTGTGTCACCACAGGCATGCAATATCTCCACAGCTGATTTCCATATCATGTGTAACAGTTGTGCAGGTATGAAATAGAGCAGAAATTTGGACCAACACACTGGGTAAGAGGCTTCTAAACACCAGGATAATTGCATATCAGCATTTTGGGTGGCCACGACATGGAGCTGTAACATTTGAATTAGCACCTAGTGAGGTCTGAGGAGGTACATACACTGGGGTGTTTACTAATTGAGTCACAATATTTTTGTGTATGTATCCAGAAGAAACCTATATACACTCCTCTACAGTGTTCTGGGTGACAATTGCATATCTGTCTATGTATATATAAAAATTGTAGATTTGCTGTGTGTTACGCCATTAAGAAAGCATAATTAGCAGTAAGTTTTCAACACATTCATGTGGGAGAAAATGAACACATGCATGACAATTGTAGATGGATTTACATAGCTGTTTGCTGCACAAATGTACTTGCATGCACCAGGCTTCCTACACTGGAAGGGGCACCTTTGGTGCCAGCCCAGTCAGTTAAGAGCCTGGGAGTAACGCTGGATTCCTCCTTATCTATGGTGGCCCAAGTCGCTGCAGTTGCCAGATCTTCATTCTTCCATCTTAGGCAGATCAGTCTACTTAGGCAGATCAGTCTACTCAAGACTTAGCTACAGTGACCCATGCAATGGTCACTTCCAGGCTTGATTACTGCAACTTGCTCTACACAGGCTTACCCCTAAAGCTGATCTGAAAATTACAGCTGGTACAAAATGTGGCAGCACACCTGCTGACGCCGATGCCTGTGCAGGCTCACATCCAGCAGGTGCTTTGTCAGCTGCACTAGTTGCTGATTGAGTACCGGATCTGCTTCAAGGTGTTGGTAATTGCCTTCAAAGCCTTATACGGCCTGGGACCAACATATCTAAGGGACTGCCTCTTCCCATATAGGCCTTGAAGAGCGTTACGCTCTGAGAGTTAACATCTCCTGGTTATCCCTGGCCCAAAGGACGTCTGCCTATCCTCAACCAGGGCCAGGGCTTTTTCTGCCCTGACCCACACCTGGTGGAACATGCTCCCTATTGAGATCAGGGCCCTGCAGGATCTTATTCAATTCCACAGGGCCTGCAAGATGGAACTGTTCCACCAGGCTTTTGGCTGAGGCAGTGGGCGTCCACTCATGGACCCCCGAGGTTGCTGTCTCCCGCCTACTGATAACTGGCCATACCCACCAACATCAATCAACCGGACTCTTCCTATGGCAAACTATGACTACTGATTTTATAGGCTTATAATATGTTTTTAAGATTTTATAGTATATTATGGAAATGTTGTAACCTGCCCTGAGCCCGTTTACAGGTGCGAAATTTAAATGTGAAAAATAAATAAATAAATAAATAGGCTTTGTTTTATTTGTTTACATTATTTAAAGAGGGATTAGACAGATTTGTGGAGTCTATCAACAGCTACTAGCCATGATGACTAATGGGAACATTCATATTCAGAGGAAGTAAACTTCTGAATACAAGTGCTTTAGTCTCTATGCCAGGCCTCCAGAGTAAGTCATTGGCTACTGTGTGATGCTTAACTAGAAGGACTCACTGGTCTGATATGGCAGGGCTCTTCTTATATTCTTATGTTCATAATGTCTTGTGTGAACTGGAGTTCAGTAGTGAGGGAATAGTACACTGTACATGCTCAGGTTCTATAAACTAAATTGTCCTAACAGCTTTGGAAAAAAAATAGGGCAGGCAGGTAAATATGTAAAGATGCTATGGAGGGAAGGGCACCATTGACACCATCTGTGAATATGTAATGGGATATACTGCATTTTCTGTAGCACTAGCAACCCTAGAATTAATGTGTAATATCCATTTCTTCTAATGACTATTGCAAGCTTGGAATTTGTTTTGTGGTAGACCAGACCATCCTTGTAATTTTGACCTTGATGAAACAGAAACCATTAAGATGAAACTTGGGCAACTGAAAGTGGAACATAATACCTTTCTATTTACTTTCTTTTGTTCTGTACACATACACAATGTTCAGTGACCACTCTTTGGTGCTGATAGCACAGTTTCATTAACTCTCTTGTTTCCTCATGCATAATAGTGAAATCATTCCTCCATTAATGAATGGGTGCCTGAGAGTATCGGAATAGTTAACATCAGTTATCTTGCATTGATTGATAAGGCCATACCTTGTGATTACACTGAATCACAACAGCAAAAAGGGTCCAACTGTTAAAAGAGTTCTCCAAACTCCTAATACCTTATGGCAGTTGGCCCACAGCTGTTTTCAGGATGCTTCTTATATGTGAATGGCAACACGTATGGCTTTGTGGTGCTGTGACACAGATAAATTTGTTTTTCTTGGAGTCCCTTTTAAGGGCAGAAAGGTGGGATATAATTTTTTGTAAATAAATAAAGTGAATAACTTTGATTGGCTGCTTGACTGTATGACATCATCATGCTGCCTGTATGATGCCAGATTGGCTGGTTTTAGCTCATGAGAGCCCCAGTTTAAAAATGGGGTGGGGGCTGAAGTTGTAGACTGGGAAAAGGAGCCGCTGTAAGCAAACAGTGAACAGTATGCAAAAATGTTCTGCTGAATGCCTCTTTTGTCCTGAAAAAATGTTTGTCAGTAATAATTTGACACAATGCCCCTAAAAAGGGGGGGGGGACAACCTGTACAAGATGGACATGTGGATCTTGTTGCTGTTAAGAATTCCTTTTAGAATGAGCAATATTTCCATTTTGTTGTATTAAGAGATGTGATCATTTTCTTTGGCTACAAATTAAATATGATATTTTTCTATGTATTTTGCAGCAATGTTCCAGGCTGTGAGGGCTCTGATGATAGTGGGCATTGTGCTAGGAGCTTTTGGCATCCTGGTGGCCGTTTTTGCCCTGAAGTGTTTGCGGATTGGCAATATGGAAGACTCAGCAAAAGCAAATATGACTTTAACTTCTGGAGTCATGTTTATTGTGGCTGGTGAGTTTGGGGCTGTATGGTGGCACTCTATTGTGAAGGACAAATGAAATTAAAAGACTGGAAGTCATAGAGAATAAGGAGAATATCTTCTCATCTAACTTCTTTTGCTGAAAATTAGGCAAGAAGATAGTCTCCTTATTCTCAATGACTAACATTTCCATAAAGATTCCCAAATGCTAAAAAAATAACCCCGATCTACATCACTTTATTTCCCCTGATGGCCAGAGGGATGATGCCATAAAATCAGTGAGGAATTCATGGATGAACCATGGTCCTGTATCAGCTTCCACAGAAGATTTGCAACATTAATGTCCTACTCTTTATGTCAAAATGAGAAATAAATTGCTAAATGCTATCCTAGAATTCCTTGTTTATTAGCTTTAGAGTCAGCTTATGGTTCATTTGAGGAATGATAACTTCCTCATTGTAACCAGGGTAGTTGCTAGCCACTATTTTTGTTTGTTAGTTCTTTCTAATTTTGGAAGCTTAGGGGCGATTTTTTTGTTGAAAATCAGGATAACAGTGTTTTAAATAAAAAGTAAAAAGGTACTGTAGCCACAGTCAGGATTAGGCAGGTATGAAATGAAGCGGGCAAGGAAGATGCGATTTACAGAAGGAAGAGTAGTATCTACCTTCTCTAGGAAAAGATCAACCCAATATAACATTAACCACAAAATCTTTACCTTCTGCTCCAAGGAGCTGTTGTACATTTGGTGCAGTGGAAGTTTTCTTTAAATGATATATGTTGTTCTGTACTTATTATATACATTTGGCATGGCTGGTGCAATAAAATACCTGTGTCACCATGAGAAGAAGGCACCCTGTTGCTTTCAGGGGAGGGATTGAGGCTCAGTGGCAAAGAATTTGCTTTGTATGCAGAAGGTCCTATGTTTAGTCCTTGGCATCTCCAGTTAAAAGGATGAAGTCCCTGGAAAGTCCCTGCCAGTCTGAGTAGACAGTACTGACCTTGATAGACTAATGGTCTGACTCAGTATGGCAGCTTCATGTGTAATAGCATTATTTTAAAGTATAACTCAACAGAGTTTATCTTTCTATGACATGGTGCTGGACTCTCCTGAGCAATAAACTGCATGCTTTGGTGCAAGCCCATGACTTAAGCCATAAGGGATCTTGCACTGGATTCTATTTACTTTTTGCCTTCCAGAGAATAGAATAATATAGGATTAAGACATCACTGTGCTTTCTAAAACCGCCTCCTGCTACAGTAACGACACCCCAATGAAACCATTTTACATATACTCTGGGACAATACAGTCATGCAACTGGATACAGATATCCCATTCTTGAAGTGAGCAATGCTCCTTTCTCTTTGACAGGTCTGTGTGCCATCTGTGGGGTGTCTGTTTTTGCCAACATGCTTGTCACAAACTTCTGGATGTCAACAGCTGGCATGTATCAAACAGGATTGATGCAGGTTCAGACAAGGTAATTCCAGCTCTTGTTATCTGGTGCTTCAAGACAAAATTATGAGCTTTAATCATTGTTATGTCAGACCTATTGAGAGGACATATCAACACCATAAACATAATTGGTATAGCAGGTATTCCCCTTTTCTTGGGGGACTGTGAAGCCCCAGGACTTCATATCCCGGGGGGGGGGGGTTTGCCATTTTCTTTCCCCGATCCCAAAGACCAGTCAACACACCATGTATAGGTTGCCCTTTAATTGCTCAGCTCTTTTATTGTGCTGGTTCCAGAGTTTAACCACCACCTCATGGCTTGGCCAGTTCACCTCTTCTCACTTCTGAGTGTTGGGCCACATTCCTAGCCTGAATCCTTCTTCCAGCTCCTTGAGCTCCTGCCTCATTTGCTGCACCCTTTCTGCAAGGATTAAGCCTGGGTGGGGCCACCAATATGCATGAGTCAGATAGGAAATGTTCCTTCTGGCTTCCTTCTTGGCCAGATATGGCACCATTTGAGTCTCTAGGAAGCTTGGTACTCCTCAGCCTATAAAGGTTCCAAGCTTCACTGCCCACAGCTTCTTCTCAATTAGCAGCCTTTGGTATAGTGGTTAAGAGCAGCACTCTGATCTGGAGAACTGGGTTTAATTCCCCACTCTTTCACATGAAGCCAGCTGGGTGACCTTGGGTCAGTCACAGTTCTCAGAGCTCTCTCAGCCCCACTTGCCTCACAGGGTGTCTGTTGTGGGGAGAGGAAGGGAAGGAGAATGTAAGCTGCTCTGAGACTCTGAAAAAAGGGCGGGGTATAAATCCAACTCCTCCTCCTTTTTCTCCTCTTCTTCTTCCCTTTACCCCAGAGAAGTCCTTTGCTCCATATAGAGCTACTCCTGACTGGCTTTCTTTCTGGTTGCCCCTCCTTGCTGTTGCCATCCAAGCTGATTGCTCCTGCCTTCCTTGGGGCTGCTCCCTTTCCTCCGCCCCTTCTTCCCCATGGCTAGGATACCTTTAATTAAAAGCCTTCATGCATCTACAAAGAGAGGCAAATGACTTCCCCCTGCTGTTTCAGCTTGGGAAAATGGCATGGGGAAGGGAGCCAGGAGACCCTCCTCCCCCTCTTCCCAAGCCCATTCGGGCTCCTTTCAAAATGCATCTCCCCACAGCTGCTGTGTGACTGTGAGGGTGGAGAGTTAGGTCTGGGGAAGCAACTTGTCAAAAAAAGTAATGTGTAGTTTGGTTCTTATTGAGTGATGCAGAATGTAAAGTTAGAAAAAGTGGACTCACAATTAATTTAAATGGCAGCAGTTACATTTAAACTTATGTAGATCCTCCAGTGCTATTAAGGGTGGACATCTACCAGGTATCAGCGGTGCTGGGCTTACAAGGCAGCTACACTTTAAAGGCCCTTTTGGAAAAGCAGAATGTTAACACAGAAGAGAGTGGCATTTAACCTTATCATGACTACTCTTTATTTTGTAGGTATACATTTGGTTCTGCCCTCTTTGTGGGATGGGTTGCTGGGGGCTTGGCCTTGGTTGGAGGCATCATGATGTGCATTGCCTGCAGAGGACTCGTACCAGAAAAGACCCAGTGAGTTACTGTATTTACTTGGGAGGCTGTTATCGTAATGGGGTAGGCTAAGGTGGCTGCTCTATTTCAGAGGCCAACAAATTATATTACTTCTGTCATGGGATCTCCAACTTAGGGGCAAATTAGACATGAGGTTCACAACCATTTTTTCACAGAGAAAAGAGAGAGAGGTTCACAGAGACATCAGGGAAGGGAGCATGTATGGGCTCACATTCAGAGATACATATAGAAAATGAAACATGCAGGTGAGGAGCTCTGTTTCTACCTTGCTGCATTCTGTAGCCTGATGCCATTTTCTTTCCATATGGATCCTTTCTGGGGCAGGCTGGGAGAAAAATGCTCCAAGGTATGGAGAGGAGGGGTCATGTTTAGCTTGGTTTTTTCCCCCATGTGAATGGGCAGACATCAGATACAGTGGCACTTCACTAGTATCCGTTTGCTAATAGCTAGCTCTGTTTTTGAGAGATCAGTCACTTGACAGTACTGATATCTGCAGTGTTTGACATGATCATTGGTGCATACTTCACTAGCCTGCCTATTGCTAGTAAACACATCACAGAAAATAATCTTTGGGGTGATTGTTAGTTTTAGATATAATCCTACCAATACTTAACCAGGAATTTCCTACTGAATTTAGTGAGCCATATTTCTAAGAGAACACACACAGGATTGGGCTGTTACTGTCTTACCAATAATAAGTAGTTCAGAAACATATGGCGGGAGCACCACTAGGCATATAAAAAAAAACTTTTTTATTTTCATCACTGCTGAACATGCCCTAAATGATACTATAGCAAGGTAACACAATGGATATGTATGGATTTTAGACAGTTGCATTATATCCACTAACTGGCAGGAAATAATGTAGCTGATTATGAATACTCCAGTCAGTTCCACTGACTGATACCCTGTTTTATTTCTGTTTCAGTTATAAGGCTGTATCCTACAATGCCTCAGGAAAAAATATCTCCTACAGGGCTGGAACTGGGTATGAAAGCAAGAAGACTACAACACATGATATTGCCAAAAGTGAGGATGGGAGACGCTCCTATCCTTCAAAATATGACTATGTATAGAAAGAAGGGTATAGTCCTGCCTTCAGCTTACTAAGCCTCTAGTTTTAAAGGTCTTTTAAATGTCTAATCTGTCCTTATTTGTTTGGTCTGGGGACTTCTTGCCTGGATGCTTATTAATATGCTTAATAAGACTTTGAATAGATATTGTCCTCGTAATGCGCTCCATTGCTAGAGAATTCTGATTTCCCTTATGCACACATTATAAGGTTAACTGCCTTTGAAAGTAAGGAGGATCAAAGGCAGATGAAGCACTAGTCCACCCCTTTGCCATCTCTAGATGCCAGTAGGTATTTAAGACCACACCGTCACTGCAGCGTACAGTGTTTATTTCATATGAGGCTCATGCCTTGATAAATCGTGCCATGTTTGGCTGCCCTTGACAAATAAAAACATGCAACTGAAACTGTTGCTTGGATGCCTAACCCATTTTAAATAAAAAGGAAATACCTTCCATTTCACATATGAGGCTAACCAAAGATGGATTTTTTGGGGGGAAGAATCCTTACAACCTAATCGCTAAGAATTTCAGAGGAAATAAAGTTGCAATTTGCTTTCTCCTCATTGCATTACACTCATCCTTTGTAAAGACAAATACAAACTCCTAGAAAAAAACATATAATAAATATATGCCAGATGTTTATAAACCCTTCCTTTACTTTGGAATTCCCTTTCTGCCATAGGGCATCAATAGCGGTCATTTGGTGGAGTGTCGTGAAACATTACGTGCCACTCTCACATCTGAGTCCTGAACAGTTGCTCTGAGATGCTCATTTTTAAAAAACAAATGTCATTTGCCTTTCTTTAAAGCCCACCGGAGACAATTAGATATTAACAATGTCTTGATGCTTATTATTACCTTATATAGCATTCTGATGTTGAATCATGGTGGCACTTAATATGAAGGATTAACACCCTGGTTCTGAGGCATGGATGAATTTCCTCAGAGAGTATTGGAATGAACGTTAGAATGAGCATGCTAAGGCTCATACAGCCCTTAGGCATTTGATTTGTGCCAATGTTATCAAATTGATTTTATTTCTTCTAAACTCAGTGGGGAATGGGTCTAAGACCATTGTTATACTTCTGATGCATATTTGGGAGTCAGTAGCAAAAAGGCTTTGCACCAGATGTCATCATTCATGATACCCCAGGAAATGCAAATTAAGAATTAGAATTATATTTTGAGCAAGGATTTCACAGGATGAGGTGCAAAGCAGTCTTTATTGGCAGAGGGGCAGCCTCATGGCATTTCCTTCCATCCCTACAGATATGAACATTAAACCCTCTCGGTGAAGTGGATAGCATTTCAATGAGAATCGTTTTAAAGAGTAAAAGATGTAGTTGACAAATCTCTTGCCCTGGTGCCATCAAGCCCCACCTCAGCACAGCTGTTGTCTACTTGTTCTCTCTATTCCATTCTCCCTCCTCATCAGTGCTGGTTGCCTAGTGAGGCATAGACTTAGGGACACAAGAGCTCCGGCTGTAAGCCACAAAAACAATGGTCGTGGAAAGTGCCATGAAGTCACAGCTGCCTTAGGGAGGTCTTATTGTGCTTTCCAGGCAAGTGACATTCAGAGGTGGTTTGCCATTTGCCTGCCTTGTGCAAATGCTAGTGAGGAACAACTCTTCTTAGCTTCTGAGATCAAGCTATCCTGGGTTTCAGCTGCCATCATTCCCGGAATTGTGGAGAATCTTCACTTGTTTGGAGTTTCTGCTGGCCATATTTTGAAAGAGTTTGTTCTATGGAAGAGTCAGCCTACCATCCCTCAGTAATGGAGTGACAGAGAATAGATAATGTAACTAATACACTTTTGGTTTGTATTTTGCATTAAAATAAATATATATCTTAAAAAAAAATCATTCAATTCCTGTAGTTTTTGGGGAAGCCATTCAACCCAAGCCACAAGATACACTAAGAAAGTGACCTCTTGGGACATCTCCTTGAAGAAGGGACATTTACAGTGCAATCCTAAACAGTGTTATACCCTTTTCCATTTAGGCTTGTACTCCCAGTAACCTTGTGACACTATACTATCACCACTGTAGCAGCCAGGGATCTGGTAATCCAGTGAGGATCAGGTGACTGGAAAAGGCAGTAGGGGCCCCATCTGGCCTTATTCAGCTGCTGACACTGGTCTGGCTCTTCACTGAATCATCTTGGTAATCTGCACAGACTGATCAGCTCATAGATTGCTTAAAGTCCACTGAGCTGCTGGTAGGGATGGGCACAAACTGAACCACGAAGCAAATTCATTTTGCCCTGTGAGTGGTTCATGAACAGAAGTTCACAACAGGTCTACCATACAGAACTTCTATGAACATTTGAAGCAGTTCATGGATACAGCAGAAAGCAGGGGTTTAAGGGGACTCTGAGTGAAAGCCACAAAAACAGCTGAGCAGCGGGGAGCAGCATGCTCTCTGCCACTCAGCTGTTTCAGGTTGTCTTGTGCAGTCCCTTTAATGTTTAAAAGGACTGCACAAGACAGCCCAAAACAGGCTTTCTGCAAACTCCATTTAAACGGACCGCTGTCCCTTTCAATGGGGTTTGTGAGGCCACAAACCATGAACCCCATTCGATTCATGAATGAACCTCCTGGTTTAATTCAGTTTGTGGTTTGGCCACGAACCAACACAAACTGCATTTTTCTGTTTCATGCACATCCTTAGTCTTTGGCCTGCCTACCTGTAGGCTACCAGCTCCATCGTATACCAGCATGCAAGAAGAATATTTTCACTGGTCACCAACTGAAGATTTCCATGGAAAATTGCTGACTGTACTCAATTATGAAAATGCATTAAATGAAAGGGATGAAGCATAATAAAGAACAATTCACTGAAAAGTGATCTTGATTGTTTAAGAAGAGAAAAACGACTAAAGATCTACAGCCTAATGAATATCTCTCTTTATTCATTCTCCTTTCCTCATAGGGTGTTTTAGAGTTACAATAATATTAATATGTACGTTAGGTAAAGGTTTCCCTTGCTCGAAAGCCAGTTGAATCCAAATCTAGGGATGTGGTGCTCATCTCCGTTTCCAAGCCGAAGAGCTAGCGCTGTCCAAAAATGTTTCTGTGGTCATGTGGCCAGCATGACTAGATGCCGAGGCGCATAGAACACTGTTACTTTCCCACCGAAGCAGTACCCATTTATCTACTTGCAATTTCTTGCTTTCAAACTGCTAGCTTGGCAGGAGCTGGGACCAGAGACGGGAGCTCACTCCATCATGCGGCACTCAAGTCTCGAACTGCTGAACTACTGACCTTCCAGTCTGCAGCTCAGCGTCTTAACCACTTGAGCCACTGCAGCCCTTTTGATAGGTACATTACCACTTCGAAAATGGGAAAGTGGCATATAAATATTTTAAATAAATAGTCCAAGAGCGAGTACCTTATTAAATATCACCTACAGTGAGCTTTACAATAACCATGGATTTGATAACTAAGATAATTTGATCTCAATACGTAGCATAGTGTGCCACCAAGGAAGATTATATGCATCCTTAAAGTATGCTTAGAGGGTGCTGCAATAGCAAAATTGGGTCAATCTGCCCCTCTTTCTATGGTAATACATTTAATTTTGGGGGACTGACCTCTGCTTGTAAAACTGCAGCAAAGAGTCTTCTTACGATTGCGTTTAAGAAAGCACAGAGCAGCAAATAGCATGGCCTGTAACAGAACTTTATACAGGGATACAGATTCCCCAAGTATTATATAGGATGGAGTGTGATAGACTGGTTCTGACTTTGATCAAGGGAAGCAAAGAACTCCTTCTGGAGCTACAAATTGGACTGTAAGATAAGAGCTCTCCAGTAATCTATATGCAATTAAAAGCCCTATTTCCCTTTCTGTAGCGACAAGGTTATTCCTCTTCTGCAGCTGAGTAGAGATAAATGACGCTCTGGATTAAATAGCTTCAAGATTTATGACATGGTTCTGGCCCAAATATTAAGGGAGCAAAGCTCTCCTGGTGAGATAGTTCAGCTGAAGAAACTTGAAATCATTTCCTCTTTCCTTTATTTTTCAGGGTCTGTGTTATTTTGGTTCGTTTTGTTCCATTTCCAAAGGTAGATGCTGGTGCCATTTGATTATTTCTTAATTGCCCCTGTCATTTATATTCTCTATAAAGGCTTCATTGGTAGAAGCAGCCTTACATTTAAAGAGAAAGAAATGTCAATTGGGAAAACAACACACACAAATACTGTTAAACAGCCAGGCAGATTTGTACCAACTGCCAATCAGTATGGTATTAATTGGTTTTGAATATGAACTTCTGCCAATGTATACCAAGAGAAGACTGGCTCATCATGTTCTGAAACTGGGTCTGCCTATATATATAGCAGCTACTTCAGCCACTCTGCTTAATAACTTCATAAGTTGTTTCAGAACTCTCCCTTGTGTTGCTGAAAAGGAGGCCAGAACACTTCTTTCCTTTCCTTTCTTTCTTTGCCTGCCCATTTAATCCAGGACCCGGCTATGGAAACTTACTTTTGAACTTTGAGTTCAGATTTCATCAAAGTACAAACCACACTAGGTCCTGGATTAGTGGTGAGGTGATGGACTGCACTTTTAAATGCTTAGAAGTGCTGTGTGAACACATAAAGGACTGTGAAGGGTTAATTCTTCACAGAGCCAGACAGCCTGGAGTGACAGGCTGTTCCAAGAGATCTGATTGGTTAGCATCAGCTGAGCAGAGAAAGACCTCTGAACTGGATGCTGAGGAGAATTGAGTCTGATTTCATCCCCAGCTGAGAAGAACTGAGTATTGACAGTTTTGGAATTCAGCCCTGACTGAGAGCACTTTAATACGGACAGGAGAACTGGGGACAGTTGGCAAGGAAGTTTGGGAAGTAGATGAAGACTCCAATTTGGGACAAGGAAAGGAGATAGATCTTCTAGAGAGAGAAGAGTTTCCCACCCAGTCAAACAGGGAGTTAGCTCTGAAGAGTGGAGAGATCCCTGGTCTTGTGTGGTTAGAAACTGTCTTTGGAGACCTTAAGGGTC